ACTGTACAACTACAGAGCGCTCCGTATAATACTGTACAACTACAGAGCGCTCCGTATAATACTGTACAACTACAGAGCGCTCCGTATAATACTGTACAACTACAGAGCGCTCCGTATAATACTGTACAACTACAGAGCGCTCCGTATAATACTGTACAACTACAGAGCGCTCCGTATAATACTGTACAACTACAGAGCGCTCCGTATAATACTGTACAACTACAGAGCGCTCCGTATAATACTGTACAACTACAGAGCGCTCCGTATAATACTGTACAACTACAGAGCGCTCCGTATAATACTGTACAACTACAGAGCGCTCCGTATAATACTGTACAACTACAGAGCGCTCCGTATAATACTGTACAACTACAGAGCGCTCCGTATAATACTGTACAACTACAGAGCGCTCCGTATAATACTGTACAACTACAGAGCGCTCCGTATAATACTGTACAACTACAGAGCGCTCCGTATAATACTGTACAACTACAGAGCGCTCCGTATAATACTGTACAACTACAGAGCGCTCCGTATAATACTGTACAACTACAGAGCGCTCCGTATAATACTGTACAACTACAGAGCGCTCCGTATAATACTGTACAACTACAGAGCGCTCCGTATAATACTGTACAACTACAGAGCGCTCCGTATAATACTGTACAACTACAGAGCGCTCCGTATAATACTGTACAACTACAGAGCGCTCCGTATAATACTGTACAACTACAGAGCGCTCCGTATAATACTGTACAACTACAGAGCGCTCCGTATAATACTGTACAACTACAGAGCGCTCCGTATAATACTGTACAACTACAGAGCGCTCCGTATAATACTGTACAACTACAGAGCGCTCCGTATAATACTGTACAACTACAGAGCGCTCCGTATAATACTGTACAACTACAGAGCGCTCCGTATAATACTGTACAACTACAGAGCGCTCCGTATAATACTGTACAACTACAGAGCGCTCCGTATAATACTGTACAACTACAGAGCGCTCCGTATAATACTGTACAACTACAGAGCGCTCCGTATAATACTGTACAACTACAGAGCGCTCCGTATAATACTGTACAACTACAGAGCGCTCCGTATAATACTGTACAACTACAGAGCGCTCCGTATAATACTGTACAACTACAGAGCGCTCCGTATAATACTGTACAACTACAGAGCGCTCCGTATAATACTGTACAACTACAGAGCGCTCCGTATAATACTGTACAACTACAGAGCGCTCCGTATAATACTGTACAACTACAGAGCGCTCCGTATAATACTGTACAACTACAGAGCGCTCCGTATAATACTGTACAACTACAGAGCGCTCCGTATAATACTGTACAACTACAGAGCGCTCCGTATAATACTGTACAACTACAGAGCGCTGTGTATAATACTGTACAACTGCAGAGCTCTGTGTAGTCGCCTTCCTTAGCCTTGTAGCACACACACACCCAGACACTGTGCGGTTTATTCAGTTGTTTGTGAGGGTCGCGGAATGCTGTTGGCGGGCCGGTATCACAGCCGGTGTAGTTTAAGGCTTGGACTGGGGTCGCTGGAGAGAGGTGCCGCTCACTCGCTGCGAGAGGACCCCGGCATCCCAAACATTTCCTCCGCGCTCCATTATAGACGCTCACTGTCGCTGGTTACCATGGGAGGCCTCGTGACGTTCCTCACAAGCACGCCTGGCATCCCGGCTTTAAGAAATGTCAGATGTGCTGACACGGGGGAGGGGGGAGAGACACTGTCTTTTTTTTTTTTTCTTTTTTTTTTACATCAGTCTTTTTTAATCGGGGAAAAAACAACAGTCACCGCGCTGTGTCGCCACGACAGTAAACAAGCTGGATGCGAAAAAAGCCGCAGTTTGCGTTGTTGCGGAAAAAATGCAAAACTTGTTGGTTTGTATCACTGATTTTTTTTAAAAATGGTAACACAAAAAGCATCTGAAGGATAAAAGCGCTCGTTCCTTTTATGCCCATCTGCAGCCAGAATGTATTTCGGGCACATCCGTGCCATCCTGTTGCGGTAACGTGCCGCAGAGGTGGTTCCACGTCTCCGTGCGTTGCTGTGCCGTTTATTCTGAGTTGGGTAGATCTTGGTGGAGCGAAGGACCCAAAGGCATAATCTCTGGTCTTGGAAGGCAACTCTCTATCACCCGCCATGGTATCCCATCGGTCCCCAAAGCAATCCAGAAAAACTATTTGAAGAATGAGAGCGTCACAACCATTTAGTTAGTCAAGCAGAACTTTATTAAACTTGACAAAAAAACAATAGATGTGTTTTGGGGGCTCATGATTCCCCCTTCATCAGGGCTTATACTGGCCGTGATTGGTGAAGAATTGGACAGTAAGGAGAAAGCATCGGCATTTAGGGTAATGGGCGATGTGGGTGCCAAGTGACCCGGGGTCCGCGATGTCGGCACCAGAGAGTCTCAGCGCCCGTTTGTATGCATATTTGGGATTCTGGTCTGGAGTGCAGTGGGACATATGCGATCGATTACAGTCGTTTCCCACTGACGTCCATTGACCTTAAATCAGGGCGGACACAGGCGGCAGATATTTTTCACTGGATCAGTTATGACCCATTCCCACAAGTTTGGTGCGATTACACGTGGGACTGTAACATGAGTTGATGTGGTGGCAAAGACTGCACCCCAACGCACCTTCCTAGGGCACCCGAACATGTTGCCACGACGATAATATTGCATGCACAATTTTTGGTCCATTGGGCATCCCATACAAGTACAGGAATACAACACATATTAAGGCGCATGCATTTACCATACCACAGAGGACTGGACTGGTGTGTACGGGCCCCTTATATACATACCGGTGGGTCAGTTTTAGTAACGTCAGTAGATGAGACGGCATCATGTCTGGTCTTTCAGCACTGTCCGTTGTAGCTACTTACACTGAACATTTCCAAACTCAGTCATGTTTTTAGCAATTATAGGTTCATTTTTCCAATTTTCTCAAGAACAAAGAGCGAAATGTCATTGAATCTGAAGGAAAGTTTACTGTAAGAACTAAAGTGATTCCTACAAGAGTCCATTCATCATGCGTGCCGTGGGGGGCACTTCTTGTGCGTAAACGCGAGGGTGGTAATGTTTTCAGGCTCAAGTCTAGATATTCTGACATCAGTTCTCAGAATTCAGCTCTGGAAAGTGGGGGTTTTGTCCTAAAAAATTGTTCAAAGGCAGTAAAGTCCGAATATTTCTTTGGAAGCATCTGCAGCCTGAAATGCTTAAAATGGACATTAGATAATCTCTTCAAGTCTACATGAGTAAATTCCTCACATGCCACAATATACCGGAATGGTGTCATTCTTTTTAGAGAAGCTCCACCTTTTATAATTAAAAAGCCATTTCTGAGCTCCAGTCATTATAATAAGTATGTGGAAGGCACCCCAAGCAATCGATTGCCTTATGCAGTGGCCACCAGGCGTTTGGCCTCCGCTGAGCTCAAGGCCAAGTCTCAGGAAAAGGTCAACCTGCACCAAGGACTTAAAAGGAGAACTATGAGGCGAGTGAAAATCACTCATCCTCATAGTTCTAGCCGACCTGTGACAATGAAACTGTCACACGTCGGCTCAGTAGATCGGGAAGTGAGGGAACACATACTGTCGCTCGCTCACTTCTCCATCATGTCCCTGCAGAGAGATGTGACTGTCACTCACAGCTCTCTGCAGGGAGTCTCCCCCCTCTCCGATCCTCCAGCGCTGACTGGCGGAGGGGGCGGGTAGAGCAGGCTCTGTCTCTAGATAGGCAGAGCCAGCTGTCACTCACGCAGCTGGGTGGATCTTGACCGTAATGTCGGGATCCCGGCTGCGGCGCTCTCAGTATACGTAGAGTTGATAAACAGATCTTTTATTTGTATCTTTTGAGGCAAATAGCTTAAATATCTCAGAGACCCGACACTGAAGCCAAAACACCAGCATGAGAGCCAAAGGACTATCCCTTTCAGAGGAGAGGTTGGCATTGGCAGCCCCCATTCTTTTCTCATGACAGATTCACTTTCAGCCGATCCCTGAAGCCGTTTCAATCTATACATTTGGGTGAGGGGCTGGTATTTTGGTATAACGATCACCCATGGTGACCAGTAAAACTTTAAAATGGGCAAATTGAAGACCGAAGAGGCCAATTAAATAAAAGCGTATCATTATAACTGAAAAAATCTAACTACAGTAAATCTCTCACCAGCAGGAGAAGGGTGCACTTAAGATGTCATTGATACATTTCATTACAACATTTATCCGGCCCAAAATATTACATTTTCATATTTAACTTTTTCCATTTTTGCATCATTTTGGACTGTGTGTTTTCCAAGGTCATCCCTCGTTGCTGCATCCACTAATAATATTTTCCGGCTGTAGGGATTTTCATGTAAATTCTATTTTGTAACATCGACCTCGGCCCATTTTTTTTTTTATTACATGTTATGCTCGAAGTTGAATAATGGATTCAGCATGTCACAGTGGAAAACTCATAAAAGCTGTTTACAGGTTTGAAATTTCTGCCGAGTATTCGCACAGACCATCTCCACTGCACAGCTAAATGCTTTCTGAAGCTTTTATGCTCTGGTTTTAAGTCTCATTATATAGGACCCTGCCTCTAATATTCGCCTCATGACTCCCCCGAGAAAGTTCTACACTAATTATTTTGCCAGGCATCTCAGCAATGTCACCGGTCTCTAGTGAATGGATAGGCTGCATTCTCAGCAATGTCACCAATCTCTAGTGAATGGACAGGCTGCATTCTCAGTGATGTCACGGGTCTCCAGGGAATGGATAGGCTGCATTCTCAGCGATGTCACCGGTCTCTAGGAATGGATAGGCTGCATTCTCAGTGATGTCACCGGTCTCTAGGGAATGGATAGGCTGCATCCTCAGTGATCTCACCGGTCTCTAGCGAATGGACAGGCTGCTTTCTTATGTATTTCAGTCTCTACAAAATGTTAAGTGTCTCATTGCTTTTATTTTATTTTCAGGACTGCTCCAGCCTTGAGGAATATCACATTGCAGCTCAGTTACTTCCACTGGCTACTGCCTTTTGTAGGGTAAGTTCCCATGTGGAATGAAGTGTAAATGTATTTCTGTTGCCTCTGTTGTACTCTGCTACAGGAAAACAAAATTAAACCTTTTCTATGACCAAGGACAAATGTGGGTCCTGAGGTTACACAGGTTGAGAACCACTGCTCTAGAGGATATGTTGGCCTCACACCATTCTGCTTCGTAATAGCCTCTTTATTTGTATTCCTTTAGCATGACATATGGATGCAACTTTTCAAAGCCTCACAGGGCTCCTTTGTCAGGCAAAGTGTCCAGTGGACGCTTTGCCTGACGAAAAGGCCCTTGAGGCCCTGAAAAGTTGCATCCATATGTCATGCTAAAGGAATACAAATAAAGAGGATATTCCGAAGCAAAATTCTGTGCAGACTTCATATCTTCTAGTGTGGAAGGAATAGTGTTCCATTGTTGGTGTCAATGGTAGGAATACCACTGAGCACTAGGAATTCGCAAAACCGGGTCACTTGAAACCATCAGACATGAACCATAAGTTTGTCAGTTTATAGGGAATGGGGTTATACAATTAACATTATGAAATGGATATGACTACACCTGACCTCTCACTTGCTCTCTATATGGAACCACGTTCATGCCCCCTTCACGTGAAAGGGGTTAAACCCACGGCAGTCGGTCCAGAGTTCCCGTAGCTATTTTTAAAGTGTTTATTACAAAAACATGTTTAATGAAATTGTTCATCCTTCCATAACCTGTGTTTATTTATTTTCTGCATCCCACTTCAACCACAGGAAATGTAAATCCTAAAACGGGAATAAACGTCACTCCCCCACTAAACTTTATTAAAAAATAACTAAAACAATGCGCTCATGCTTATTTTCCGGAGTACGGCTTATTTACCGGGTTTCATATACATCATTTGGGGGGAACGCAAACATGATTCACACAACAAAGGAATGATTCCTCCGTCACGTAGAGAGACCTCGAGTGTTCTAGGTCATCAAGATCGCGTCTTCCTGTTGTTCACACTGAAGGAATGTTTCTAAACAATAAAAAAATAAATAGGTACTTCACTAATGCACTCTTTCACCGCAGGAGTCCAGATTAATGGGCTGAGTAATTTATTATATCGACCGTTTCCATAATAAATACTAAATAGAAAAGGTTTAATGCCGCTGAAAATTGCATCAGTGGGAATACCAGTACAATTAAATGTTATTTAAAGCGCTCTTATAACATTTGAAAATACATATATAAAGGTCATGGGACAGTCTGCTCCTATGGGGCTACTGGACAGGAAGCCACCTGTGTGCTGGAAAAGAACCCCTAAATTTAGCCCCATTTCAGAAAACTACTCATCCAGAATTTTTTTGATTATAAAACAGGATTTATATAGCGCCAACAGTTTGCGCAGCGCTTTACAATATAAGGAAGACATTACAATCACAATACACTTCAAGACAAGATGGTAAGGAGGGCCCTGCACCTGAGGGCTTACAATCTAAAAGGGAGGCAGGGTGGGTCTCCCAAGGTGTAAAAATGAATCTGTCATTTGGGAACGGGCAATCCCAAAATACTCCACTGTCCCCATGGCCTCAGGACTGTGGAACTGAACTGCACTCTTCAGTGAAAGGAGAAGGAGAGTCATGTACTTGCCATGGCTGCTTCCATCACATGACCGGGAACCAGAACACTAAGGCCTTGTTCACACCAAATGCAGAGCAGATCTGCATGAGTTTCTGCACACGCAGTTCAGTGGGTTGTGCCACATTTTTTGCCGTGTTTTTGATGCTTTCCGGGCCTTTTTTGGTTAAAAAAAATATATATATATTTTTTAGTTTAAAATGGGCTTTCAGTGCGTTCCAGGCATTTTTGATGCATTTGCATGCGTTCCAGAGCAGGTAAAATAGGGCCTGCTGCAGTTTTTTTTAAATAAATAGCGATTGGATAGCAAAGTTAAATGATCAGCTTTGCTATGTTCCATCCTTAGTTTCTCACACTGCACCTGTCAGTGATTTCCTCCTGGCCTTGTACTTTGGAGCCGTAGGGGAATCATGAGACAGATACTTCAAAAGCGGCGACGTTGCTGTAATAGAAATTGAGACGTGTCAGGAAACAAAAGCTTCCGTCTTTGCGTCCTGCAGCCAAGACTCTGTGCTGTGTCTGCCGATGCTTGTCCCTTGTCCGGAGCTCCTTAGATTCAAAGCTCAAAGTTTTATTAGAGATAAACAAGTATAGTGATGCAAAGCAGGCGCATTGTGCGTTGAAGGGAATTTAGCAAACTTTGCTGTAGATATGGGCCCTGCCAGTGCTCATACTTCAGTGCTAAGTCTGCCTTTACTTTTGCCATGTGATCTGTGTGGGCTAATCCTGGCACTGAAAGTATTCTAACACCTTCCCACTCCTGTTGCAGGTGATCCCTCTGATTTGACATCACGCTCTCTGATGGGGCTTGAACACTTACATGCTTGAGTCTTTGGTCTCTTTTGTAATAACTAGTGATGAGCTGGGGCTTGGTGTGAACTAGGGATGCAGCGATACCAGTACTAGTATCGGTGTTGATGCCGAGTATTTGCAGGAGTACTCGTACTCGCCCAAATGCTCTGATACCTTCCCTGGTACCAGAACTTCCAGTCAGAGGAAGATTTCCTCTGATCAGCAGTGCCATAGGGGAACATGGAGCCGGCTTCCCGGGCAATCAGGAAGCCGGGTGGCGAGTAATGACCTGCCTCTCGACTTCGTGATTGGCCGGGAAGCTGGCTCCACACTGATCGGCTGGGAGGCCGGCTTTCCAGCCAATCAACATGGAGCCGGCCAAACAACATGGAGCCGGCTTCCCGGGCAATCACGGAGCCCAGCGGCCGGTAGTGACATTCTGCCCGGCTTCCTGATTGCCCGGGAAGCCGGCTCCATGCCAGTGGAAGCACCAGTATCGGTACCCGACATCTGCGAAAGCAAAATTTGAAATGTGATTGGCCGTTTGAATTTCGGGGAAAAAGCCAAACAACTTTCTGAGATGGTAGATGAAGGGATTCATGGGAGAATGTATTTATAAACTGAGGAAAGAGCTTATCCTTCTCCTCTGCCAAGTCGGAGGTTTTGTACAGGAGAGGGGAACACTTGACCATCTTATTTCCAAAATCTGCAGTTATTTCTGGATGCGGGAACCAACAATTTTAGCCTTAATTATCGGTTTTCCCGCCAGCCGTGGGATCTTATGTTGGCGGAGATACAACGCGCACAAGGTCAGTACCAGAGCAAGGAGCAAAACAAATGTCAGGTTTCAACAGAGACAATAAAGCGGACTCACGTGTTTGTAGCATCCTATTGATGAAATTGTTGGGTCAGATTTGTGGAATGAAAACGCGAAATTGGCATGTCACGTGATCCTTTGTACAACACGCCATTAATTGATGTGACTTGACTGGCTGACAGATATGGGGCAATGGTTGGAATCAGCTGTTGTGCCCAAGTGTCCCAATCCTTTTCATGAATGTTACATTGTGTCACAGAATCTGAGGGGTGGGATTGGGCTGAATATGGCCACTATGAGCTTTCTGTAGCTTAAAACATCCAGAGAGAAAACTTTAACGTGATCTCCAGCCTTCCCCTTCAGTCTTCTATTTGACCTCCGTCCTTCCATTCAGTCTTATATCTGACCTCCGTCCTTCCCTTCAGTCTTCTATCTGACCTCCGTCCTTCCCTTCAGTCTTCTATCTGACCTCAGTCCTCCCCTTCAGTCTTCTATCTGACCTCCGTCCTTCCCTTCAGTCTTCTATCTGACCTCCGTCCTTCCCTCCCGTCTAATATCTGACCTCCGTGCTTCCCTTCAGTCTTCTATCTGACCTCCGTCCTTCCCTCCCGTCTAATATCTGACCTCCGTCCTTCCCTTCAGTCTTCTATCTGCCCTCCGTCCTTCCCTTCAGTCTTCTATCTGACCTCAGTCCTCCCCTTCAGTCTTCTATCTGACCTCCGTCCTTCCCTTCAGTCTTCTATCTGACCTCCGTCCTTCCCTCCCGTCTAATATCTGACCTCCGTCCTTCCCTTCAGTCTTCTATCTGACCTCCGTCCTTCCCTTCAGTCTTATATCTGACCTCCGTCCTTCCCTTCAGTCTTCTATCTGACCTCCGTCCTTCCCTTCAGTCTTATATCTGGCCTCCGTCCTTCCCTTCTCTCTTCTATCTGACCTCCGTCCTTCCCTTCAGTCTTATATCTGACCTCCGTCCTTCCCTTCAGTCTTATATCTGGCCTCCGTCCTTCCCTTCAGTCTTCTATCTGACCTCCGTCCTTCTCTTCAGTCTTGCACAGTTGTACCAGCTCCTCACCTGTGTGATATTGCTTCCTCTTTAACTGCTTCAAGTCTTGTAATGTGCTGTGATCACAGACTCAAATGTGACATTGTTTTATATTGGCAGAGAAAGCCTCCCATTGCAGCTACACACACAGAGTCTATAAATATGAAAGTAAATATCTAATCATCCATTAAGTATCAAAATACTCTACAGCTGAAGAACATTCCATTACCTTTATTATAGACGTCTGATGCTATGTTTGGCTTTGGTGATGCTTTGACTTTATTTTCCTAGTTCCTGTTAAAGGGAAACTCCCGATTGTTGGAAGTATCCTTCATGGCCAATTTTCATAGATATTTTTCATATTACACACATATATATTATACTGTTAGGCCTTCCGATATACTTACTGCATGATAAGTGGAAGTGTCTGTCCTTCTATATTCATGTGATGTGTCTATTGCCTCAGGAGGCATCTCTTTGGGTCACATGGGGGGGCAGCAGATAGCGGCATGGCCGCTCTGCTACACTAAGTTTGTGCCGCCCCCTTTCTGGCCAGAGCATCCAAGGTCGCTAAGAGGCATGCGAGCAAATGTGTAAGGGCCATACACATTTCCCTGCCCAGCTCTTAGCAACCTGTTATGGTCTGGCTGGCGTCCCGCTCAGCTCCTGGCAACCAGCGGCGTGGCTACTCTGCTGTATAGTGTTTGTGCCGTCACCTTTCCAGCCAGACCATCACAGGT